ATTTTCATTGAATTAATTTGTAATTTCATGTTTTACTGTACCACCTGACATGATTTTTGATGTTAAACTTTTTTTTTACGTATTTAATTAGAATCTCTTTTTTTTATACCATTTCACTGAACAAACTTATAAATAAAGAACAATACCCAAAATTCGTTTTTAAAAATTTATACTATTTAATATGAATTCGTTAGCTGTTGAATCAATATCTAATACTAATGTATCTGACATGGAGATAATTTCTGATTCATTTAATAATTCGAAAAGATTTTACATTCCTACAGACAAAGAATTAGATGACGTGATTTTGTACTCAAAGGTGGTAAACACAGAGCTTTCAACACAAAATTGGTACAAATTATTTAAACAATTTCGTCAAGTAGCCAATTTTGATGGTGATATTAAAGATATAGCAAATGAAAAACAACTGGAAATGGAACTATGTAATTTTTTTGTTGGTGTAAGAAAAAAAGATGGTGATTTTTATAAACCACGTTCATTATATGTTGGCTTTTGTGCAATAGTACGTGGACTTAAACAAGATATACCAAACTTAGCTGAAGATTTATTTAATAAAAACAAATATCCAAAGTTATGGCAAACGATGTCAGGTAAAATCAAACAAATTCAAGATACTAACAATGTTAGAAGGACAAAAACTGATGCATTAGAAAAGCATGAAATATTACATATTTTAGAACATCCATTATTAAACTTGAATGAACCTCTTTCACTCACAAAAAAAGTGGCATTTTGGCTTTCATATCTATGTAGTTTTCGTGGAGGAGATTTAAAAAGACTTAAAGATTCCTGGGTAACATTAAATAATGATAAGAGTGTAACTGTGTCGCTTCCCAGGGAAAAAAATCATTCTGGTGGTCTTGATGATATGGATAATAATGGTCGAGTTTGTGAAATACCAGCTGATACTAACAGTAAATTCCGACCTGTACAAGACATCACATACTATAGAAACAGAAGACCAGCTCATTGTAAATGCCCAATGTTTTTTTTAAAAATAGAAAATAAGGCCAATATTGAAAAAGGCAAATGGTTTTCAGATACAAACCTAGGAAAAAATTCACTTGATACTCTAATTAAACAAATTTGTGAAAATTGTGAGATTGATATTGGTAAACGACACATTGTAAATCATTCCATGAGAACAACTGGTATAATGCAATTAACAAACTTAGGTGTTCCCATTAATGAAATCATGGCATATAGTGGACACCGTTCACTTGCTGGCTTAAATTCTTACCAAACTATACCTAAAAAACAAATGCATAACAATGTGGCATCTTTAATCAATTCGGATTCATCATCAACATCTGAAAAATTCACTGGAATTAAAGCAGATATTGAATTGTGTAATGAAAAAGATGATGATTGTGTATCATTAACAGGTAAAAAAAATTTTTTTTTTTGAGAATGTAATTTTGATAATTAATTTTATCTGTTATATTTGATTTAACATAAGTCTGCTTTATAGGAACTTATAAAAACAATAGATCTCCTTTTAAAGAAGTCAATAGAAATAGCCATCATTCTAGGTTGGGAACAAAATATAATAAAGTATCAGATGACAATATTTTGAAAAGACCATTCAAAATCCCTTCCAAACGAAATTTATCTGAAGATTTAACTCAAAATATTCAAAATGGCAAAACATCACAGAAGTTTACAGATCCTGAATTACCAAACATACAGATAAATGCGAGTGGTAACAACATTAAAGTTGATGTTCATATTACAATAACAAAGTTAGATGAATAAATAGTATTTATTATTATACTGTATTTAGTTATGTTAATTGTATTATAATAATAATTTGTAAAAAATCACGTTTAGTAATTATTGAAAATCATGCAATTACACTTTATTTGCTGAGTTTAAAATAACAATAAAAAATTACAT